CCGTTGGTGCCCCGCGGGGTAACGGTCTCCACAGGGGCAACGGCMGCGCGCCCGGGGCCCGACGGGGGGCAGCGAGAGCGGGCGGCGGCGGGAGGAGAAGGGGCAGTTTTTCCATGTCTCCTTCCACAGGGGAAGCGCGCTGGCTCTTCCCCGCCCCCCGCCACGTCCTTTCCTTCTTTTTCTAGCGTCATTTAATTCTTTTTCTGTTTCTTAATATTCATAAGGTAGTCACAGAAAACAAACAAACTCAATCCCAGGTGAATTGTTTTCCTTCTTTCATACTTTTTCMCTTTGTCAGTATAAAGAGGTAGGAACGGTTAAGTTTAAAACAATTGTTTTAAACTCATGTAAGTGTTTCCCTTTGCAACTCTCTGCTCAGTTTATTCCGGGAAAGTAAAGTTGCAGGTGAGGACACACTGGTAACACAGTGCAGGGACAAGTCTATTGGAAACAGAGGAGATCTCTCCAGGGATAGTTTTGAGGAGGAAAAAGGATAGGGGTTTATCATTTGTCTACATTTACATCTCCACTCCTGAAAACAAGAGCAAGTATCACACTTACATGTTCACAACAATTTTCATATCCTTTTGCTTGATTTCCCAAGGAAATCAAGACTTCAAAGAGGCCTATGCATATATGCAGATATGCAAAGCCAGCAACTTAATGCTATTAAACATTTTTAATTAGCAAATCAGAGGGAAASTAGGCTTCAAAAATGAATGCATTCATACAAGTTTTCTGAAAATAGGCAAATTACAGTGGCTAAATAAGGAAACTGTAGAGAGAATTATTTYACTAGATACCAGAGACTCCTGAATGCCAAAGGGCTTCCTGCTGGAGCTATGGAGGCCACAGAAGTGCCATTTCTCCTCCTTAGTCTCTTGCAACTGCTCGCAGCTGCTGATCATGAGCGTGCGCTGGCAGTGCCACCTCACTGTTGTGGGGCTGAAGAAAGGGATAAACTCAGCCCATCAAGTTTGGGAGCCTCAGAAGCTAAGGAAAGCACAGCATAAACAAGAGAGGAGATGCCTCACCTAGCCGCTGGTAAAAAGGGGATGAATCCCTTTCCTTTGTTTCCCACAGAAGTGTTAGAAGATAAGGAAGGCTGCAGATACACAGGACTTGAGGAATGCTGTAATACAAGATCCTGGAGAGATCAGAGGAAAAAAAAAATGGAACTTAAGAAATCTTAACTACACAGGACCACAGAGATTAAAGGTGGCCAATAACGTGGCAGCCCAGGAAGCTGTGTAGATACTTTCGCTAACTGTGCAGCAATAGCCCTGCAGGTCAGACTGTCCCATTTGGAACTCAGTGCTCTTTTTTTCTTCTAGGAGCCACTTGTATTTGCAAGAGAGGCTAGTTTACACTGCACAAAACCAGGAGAACAACATGAATTATYACTTAGCTTTTTAACGGTTTCATCTTGTGTTAAAGTGTCCAATGCTGCAAATTACTAGTTTGTGTAATACAGTAGCATTTTACCCATGCAACAGTTTTGCACAAGCAATTCTATGCCTACAGACCATGAAAACCTCCCTTCCATATTGAATAACTTATCAGTACAGCCAAGCTGACAGAGAAGCTGGCAGTTTAAGATAAAGTAAGTTCTCTACCCATCCAACTATAACTCAGATCACCATTAAAAGGGTATATAAAACAGAAGTAACAATACTAACTACCTCAAACTGTTAGGATCAACCAAGCAAAAATACCATTCTGGAGATTTTTGTTATCTACCATTTAAATACATGATTTTCTACTATKAAAAAAACACTAAGACTCCATTACTCCATACAATAATATCTCTCTGCAATTTAAAGGTACAGCTAGCTCTTCCAGATTAATGCAGCACAAACAAGTCATTCCTTTTAAAGAATACAAATAAGCAAGCTTTGTGACCAAAGTGACCACTCTTGGAGGGAAAAAAAAAATATTGAAAGGAGTTTTTCCATAAGAGACACTCCATTCTAAATGGTGATAAACACAGATGTGTCTGGACAGAAAAGTTAAAGCACTAAAGATCCCCTGGCTTGTTCACAGATAATATGCTAGACCTAATTGCATTGTCATGATCCTTCTCTTTCAGCTTTAGGAAAAACCTGCTAGCCACTCCATTCATCCCTATTCATGTCTTGTCACTCTTGTCTTGTCACTCACTACTCATGTCTTGTCACTTGCACAGATACATCACCACAGTCTTGACTTTTCAGGTTGCAGAACTGGAGCACACCAGGATTGCTGCTTTGTTCCTGGGTACAACTGGAAGCTCCCATTTCATAGAAAAAAAACAGAGTGTTGGAGCTTTTCAATACTTGAACTACATAAGCACCACAAAGACTCGTAGCTGCACACACCAGTAACACAGCTATTTGTTTCAAACAGTATCTGGCAGCAGGCATGTGGGATGCTCACAGTCATATGACAGACTGCTGTAGACTACAAACTAACCTCTTTTTCTCCCCATAGTCACAGTTTAAGCCACACCACTACCTCCATCACAAAAGACATGAAAGAAACCAGTAAGGGTGGCTTTTCTCAGTCACTGTTGGACAATTCTACAGTACGCTCCTATTTTATTATGGTACTACACACTCATGTTTGGAGCCCAGCAGCAACAGATTTTAAACCTTTCAAATGGATTTCAAATAAGACGTGGAAATTCTATCCTAGTGAAGCTACTGAATTTAAAATTGTAATCATAACTGTACCTTAATTAGCTAATTCRAGCTTATTTTCTTTACTGGGTACTGTGTATAGAAAAACATGAAAGCAGTATCAGTGTTTGTTATGTGAAGCTTTTATCTTGTACAGTAGATTAGCTACTCCTTGTGCTACAATACTACAAGGGAAAAAAAAAAAAAAGATTACAGCATAAGAACGAGAAACATTTTGAATTTTTCCTGACAAAAGAGAACAAACACACACCTAGCTATTTTATTTCCTTTTTATTTAAAAACATAAAAAAGTGATCAGTGCCAATTTGATAATAAATTTAAGACCGAGGATGGCTTATCTGCTATTTGGATTCCAGTATTTTTTCTCATGCAATTGCTATATTAAAATTACATTCTTATTTAACATTACAATGAATKATTAAATAATGCTAGTAGGTTTTAACCATAAGCACTAATTAAAAATCAATTTTCAAAAGGTTAAAACTTTTAAACACCGAAAGTCCTCGTAGCCTTGACAAACCATCCAATACCTTCCTGTGTATGGTAACTGACAGATAAATTGTGGATTTCCCTCCAGTCCCTTTTTCTCTTTAATACTCATCTCAGAAATGTATGAAATGCTTCCTAGTGAATTCTTGTACTTGACAATATTATTTCAGTTGCATAATGAAGTGTGATTTCTCATTCTTTTTAGAAGACAGTCTTTTACTACGTATCCCCAAAGACCTCCTCACAAACAGGAGGTATATTCACATATATACACAAAAATAGCAGATGCTTTTGGCAAGTTAAACCTTTTAATAAACCTCTCAGAACACTAGCTTCAGGATGTCAAGTTCTGCAGTTTTATCAGTTCTGTAATTCCTAGTACTGTATACAGAAATACATTTAAAATGTGTCCATCCACACAGATTTTAAAAAAATCTGTCAACAGAGACAATATCTTGAACCACATCCTTAATGATGAGGTGGTAACAAGGTAAAAGTTTTAAGAGTTTTAGTAGAGTAAACAATTCTTTCTTTAAAGAAGTTGTTAGCTCACAAGTATTTGATTTCAAACACTTCCCACATCGTTTTTAATAATMATGCTCTCAATATATAACTATTACTGCCCTAAGAAATGATGGAGAAAACACTCAAAACAAGTAATTTGCCTTCTGTGTAGTATAATTTCCTCTTTATTTTCAAAAAATAAATGTCAAATAAAAGTGAAATAATCTGTAGTGGCACAAGTTGCCTGGACTTATCTGACTTACAAGGGAACCATGATTCATCTGCAAATATTAATTCTGTATGCAGGCTAAAATTTTAGCGATATTAACTGTCGATATCAACTGAGCTTCATTTGATCCTTATTCTGCATATTACTAATATTTGTAATATGCATGGAGATTAATGAAGTGCTTGGTTTGGAAGGCACACTAGTGTGCTAGTGTACTATCCTGTACTTACAAATTGCTGTATTTTGCTGATTCTGTTTAACACTAATCATCACTGTACCAGAGTTAATATTCATATTCAAAGTGTTCCAGCTTTCAACTTCTCTGCCTTAAAAAAATGTTACAGGAGATTATCAAACTAGGAAGCAGACACAGACCTACGGACAACTATCATATACATCAATAATTTCTTGGTATTTTTGAGCCCAAATGACTAAGTTACACACTTGGCATTTTCTTAAATGAGTTCAAAATCTGGAACTTTTCCCTTCCATCCAATTTTAAAAAAGAGACAAACGAGCAAGCTTTCAACCATTTTGACAACCCTTAGTTTCATGTATTTTTGGTATCATACAGTACAACTATATGTTGCACATCAGTGCTGAGTGCACTTTAGAAGGGACTGCTAAAATATTTCAAACAGCTCTTATAGCACCATATATTCTGCTGTTGATTTAACTGCTTAGAATCAGACTTTGTGCTGTTGTTTCTGAAAAAAAAGATGATTTTTTTTTTTAAATTCCCTTTWGCAATCTAAAAAAAGATTCTAGTATAAAATGTTCATGTTATCCAACTGATGATACCTAAAAAATGGCTTACTGGATACCAGTTCCTTGCAACCAATCAGTGAATAGCTACATGATTCTGTTTGAATGACACACTTGAAAAGACAGAAAAAAATCTTTTAGATGCATTAGGTGCAAGTGTCTCTTCCACCCTTTTTTCTATTTTCAAAGGTTCATTTTGCAAGTTTGATTCTGCCCGCTCCATGAAATTTCACTTTTGAGTCATGATAGAGAAAAATCAGCAACAACCACAAGAGTTGACTGCTGGAAAAGCCATTTTAAAACACAACAGCAGCCTGGCAAGGAAGCAAGAACAAAGCATGGTACTTGCAACGAACTAGACACACACTAAACACAAGTCAGCTTTGGAGCCCTATAGCAAATTTTACATTCTATCGCATYTAAATTTGTCCATTTTCAAATGATACAAAATTCAGAATTGAAATAATATATAACATTATTAAATATGAAGTACACGAATCATTCATGCACTAACAAATGATGCCTTCTCCTCCTTGCCCCCCATCACCTCACATACAGGTAAAGCTGAAGCTAGCATGTCAGAACATCATTTAATTTAAATGAAACTAATATTGGTACTTTACCATTTTTGATATTTGTTAGGTACAACATTCAAAGTCAGTGACCATCCATTTAACTTTGCAAGAGCCTTGTTTTCCAAACACGAAATACYGACACAAGGAAGTAAAAGTGAGATCAGTTTGAATACATTATAAAGATTGTTAAACAGCATATTTCTGAAGAAAACGGTCAAACGCATCATAAATAGCTTTCCTAAAACAAACAAAAAAAAAGAAAATAGTTATAGACCACTTCCATAAACTGGGAAAAGGTAGATGAAAATGGTCGATTACCATATATTTACAAACTAAAGTTATTGTACAATTTCAAGCAATACTAAATGAAAAATGTGATATTGAGTATTCTTATCCTGGATGTTTTTTGCCTCACTGCAGTAATACATTTATGTCTCAGGAGTGAATGGGGCTACTTATCCTTTAAGAGAAGTACAAATGTTAGTCTATTAGGAGTTTTCAATTCAACCATATTAGAAAATGGGTCAAAAAGCGATAAAATAGTTGAATGTTTTTGAACAACTACCTTAATATAAAATAAAGCTGATTTTTTGAAACACCAATAAGCTAATGGCTAACACACCTCCAATCTGTACACTGTTATCTCTTTGTTGTTGCTTAGACTTCCTAAATGGGATGGCCATTCTTAGTAATTCTTTCTTTTTCAATTTGTTATTATTAACCTTTCACAATTAGTAAGCTTATATAACCGCTATTTCAGGAAGCCCGCAAGTGAAGAATTCCTGCAAGTACTACACAATTGAAGACAGGTTTGTATTTTCAATTCTGGACTGGAAAGCTTCTGCTCAAGAGAAACAGAACCCTGCTTCATAGGCAAACCTTGCTTAAAGAATTAATATCTAATTAACCAGAGACTTTTACAGAAAGAGAGACAGAAGGATCATTCTCTTGCCACTTGCTTACTGAATGATCCAAGTCACCCTGCTGCATCCTCACTTAAAGATGGAAATGCTGCCATCCTCTCTAAATTATTTGAAAACCGTTGATTTCTTCTACAAAGCARTACTTGGTATTTGTCGCTTTGCAGTAACAACAGTGGTATTAASATCTCAGCTATTTTAAAACTTGTCTCTAACTTACCTAAAGAGTCCTTGTTTGAACAGATAGGCACTGACATGACCTCCATCCAAATACCTGATTTCACATCCAGGCCAGATTTCTTGAAGACTGCGCACCCCAGTTCGAGGAATATATGCATCCTCCTTGGCTTGCACAACTATGATTAAACTGGGGTCAACTGGAACTAAAGAAAAACAAATTGAAGTTTTACCTCAACAATCGAAACACAACTCACCCATAGTAAGCAGTGAAAGTATTTCAGTGATCCAATATTTCTGTTGTAAAGATGATCTGCACTTTTAAATATTAAATATTAAATATTAAATATTAAATATTATAATATATATAATATTTAATTATATACACAGAAAGCATATCACTAGCTAAAATGAATTCTAGTTTTCTACTCAGTTTTCCATGAAATTTGAATGTGGATTTATTTAAGTTCTTCTCTAGGCACTCTCCAACAGTATCCTAGCAAGGGATCTGCTGTTTCTGCCTCAAAAGGCAGAAAGAATAAACAAACATATTGGAAGGTGGGTCTTGATTTCACTTTCTCAGTGACTTTTTATGGAGAAACAAGAAAACAATTAGTTCAAAATAAAGGAAATGATGTGGTAAATATTTTATTGGACAACATGCAAGATACGTTTGTATTTTAGCCAAGGTGCCGGACTGAGACAATGGGAGAATCAAGAGAATACCTGGTTGTGTCAGGGCACACTCTTTAGTTTTCCAAACTACACCTTACAGCAAGCAAGCACATACCTGAAAAGTTGGCTACGTGGGTACATTCATCCATAACTCCTTTCATAAAGCGTAGCGATTCTCTCTGTAAAGTGTCACTCTTTCTTCTTTCATTTATCTTGTGTCCTTGCTGACTGGTTAAGTTTTTATTGCTCTTGCTACTGGTTGAAAATGTTTGATTTATGCATTGCATTTTAGGAGCATCTTGTATTAAGAGTCTTTCTGATGAGGCACTTAGAGTACTTTTATTCGTGGTGAAGCAGTGACCAGCTTCATTAGATACAGCTTTGCTCGAGGAATCAAAGGTGAACATTTCAGAAGTCAGGTCTATGTCCTCTAGACTCCCTACAGTGTCAGGGAAGTTTTTAACAAAATCTTGTCCCATCTTGAAGGAATCTGTCTAAACAAAGAGAGTTAGCTGAGATCAAACATCTCAGTATTGGAAAAAAAAGGGAGAAAAACAGAAAGTTTAAATACCTTAAAGAGCAACTCAACATTGCTACATATTTCTACAGTATTGGTAGCAATTGCTCTGAAGGACAATAAATCATTCTTTTGATATTTACTCTTCAGGCTACTGGCTACTCCACACCATCAAGCCAATTACTGAGAAGTGTCATCTATGATTTCAGTGTTTTGACTGAATTCATGCTGCAGGTTACACTAACCTGCTATCTGTGGCCACAAATGAAAGTCTGCAGTGAGTGCTACTATTGTTTTTCTTCAATGATTAATGAAAAAGATAAAGGCACACGCTTTATCTTATGATATGCTTATGATTTGCTCATTGGATTTGCTTATGATTTTGCTCAAGAGTCAAAATAAGTTGTTGGATTTGAACAAATATTAGCAAATAATGAAAACAAAATATACTCACTCCACAATATTCAAGCATTTGAATGATTTCTTCTTCATAAACAGTCTGTGTAAAATACTGTTTTTCCAGCTCTCTCCAGTTCACTGCCTTGCTCAACACACCCTGAAATTATAAACACAAGTGCCCAATACACAACTTGAAAACAAAACATAAGTCATTCTGAAAAAATGACAGGCACAGAAAATTGATCTGTCCCTCTGCAATGTGATCTTTCCAGCAGAGTTCTACCTAGGTTTTCAGATAGCCTTTAGAGCAATTGAAATCAAAGCATAATCACATAATGTAACAAGAACACAGAAATTCCTTTTTTTTTTTTTTTTTTTTTTTTTTTTTTTTTTTTTTTTTTTTTTTAAGCAGACACCAATCCCATTTGAGGTTTATGCATATCTAGATTGTGCTAGGCCAAAGGTTGGTGTCAAGACTACTTGCTCACTTCAGCAGTAATGAAAACAGGCACCACTAGCAGCGGTAGTAGCATTATCACTCATATATCTTAAGTCAGATTTTGAGCAAAAGAAAACATACTTCCACAGTTTCCTCCCTCACTTTCCTACATTCAATTCTCTCTAATCCCCATCTTGCAAAGCAGGGCCAGCCCCATCCCCCAGTTTAGGGCATGACCCACTGAAGTAGCCTGGGGCTTCAGTCCTCATCACACSCTGCATCCAGAGCAGGAAGGGCAGGTTTTGCCACTAGTCTATTAATAAAGGCAAAATGGTCATGAAATGTCCCATCTAAAAAGGTGAAYGTGGCCAGCTCAAAGTTTCATATCTGATTATGCTCTAGCACATTAACATTTATATGAGTTAATTACCGTGGTGAAGACAGCAGAGGCTGTTGACCAGGAAAGACATGGAATCAAAGGCAATGGTTTAGGCCAATTTGTCACTGCCAGTGAAGCCATCTATTAGACAGAACAATCAAATGCACTAATTACATACACACATATATGCACTTTAACATGCAGTTCTGATATTTCAAAACCAATTTTAAGAGCTCTCATCTTTGATTTTTTTGATTATTACAAAAATAATAAGCAGTACCAAAGCAGACAAGGACTGCAGTCATTAGACACACTTCCTCCTCCTCAAAACTTACAGGAAAGAATGGATTTCTGGTTATAATATACTGGTAGGTATTCTTGTAGCTATTTAGAATACCTAATAGTATATTTATCTATAAACAGCCTTTAGCTGTTTGAAATCACAACAAACTTCAAGAGGCTCTTGCAGGTACATTGCAAAACAATGAAATTGGAACGGAATATATGAATAGGACTGCCCAACTTTTTGTACTTTTGACGCTGGAAAAAAGAAAGTGAGAGGAGTAATTCAGCATGTTAAATGAACTCTTTTCTTTCCTTTTCAATCTGAGTTATTCCTTTTGCATCAGCTCTCAGAAAACATTTTAGGAGTATTCTGTATACACAAATACAAGCAAAAATCCTGACACAGATGTGAAACAAATACTTCCTTATATGGTATGTTCTCACCAAATTTTTATTTTATTTTATTGTCCTAAGCTAAAAATCAATGTACATGCTGTAAAGCTCTTAATATAAAATAATCTATGTTTGCCTAGGATGATTGAATAAATCTCTCTATTAAAAAGTGCACATATCTATTTGGACAGTCAGCAATTCTGATTTCCTTCTTCACAGATCCCAGTTTTTCCCTACCTTTACTACTGAATGAATGCATTTTTCTTTGCTGTCAAACACATTCAAGACAACCATCATCAAATGTCACTTATCTTCACAGTTTTAAATGGTACTGTTAGTTTTAGAACTCAAGACTACCTAAAACTATATCCTTCTGGTATAAGTTTTTTTTTTTCAGATCTTGCCTCCCTCTAAGTACATGCCATACATGACCGTATGTTGTATATGGCTGTATGTGTGAGATGCAGATTAGACATTCTCATAGCATCCATGTACCATCTGAAGCAGCACAGTTAGTGACATGTATATGGGAATGAAAATTTCCAACTCACTTATTTGTAAGACAGGGTAGACATTTTATATACTGTTGTTTCAGCAAGGGTGATGTTTATGTACATCAAGGTTTGAGGGTTTTTTGTTTGTTTGTTTTGCATATTTATGACATTTGGAGTCCTATAATCACACCTTGGGRAAAGGTATGCCAGCTAACTAAGCCTCACTGACCAGTGAGCACCAGTGCAGACACAGGTGATGCTCTGAGTGCACATCAGGATTTCAAGCGTTTTAGAATGCACTGTTTTAGTCAAACACGCACAGTCACGTACAAAACATTCTCTAGCTCTGCCCTGAAATCTTCTCTTGTCAGTACCAATGACTATGGAGACAAGAACTGAAGTAGCCAAAACTGACACCAAAAGTCACCTCAGTTATATTATGCTATGAGATGCATTTCTCAAATGCAAACACAGAACCCTGAGAAAGAAGGGAAGGGAGGGAGCGAAGGGATGAGGAAAAGGGGAAAAAAAATGCAAGAAGCTAATACTTGTATTAAGCTTATCGGGCGATAACCAACAATGGGTTCTACCACATTAGCATTTATGGAGGATTACACTAATACAACACCACAAAACAAAAGGAGAATTGTCACCAACTTTTTTCCCCATTTCCCTTAAACATTTAAGGTAATTGAGAGAAGAACACTATGAAACAAGTTATTACCATAAACAAATTAATCAAAAGTTAAAAGAAATCACTAAAGAAGAAATATAAAAGCTTACATGTCCTCCCATGGATATTCCAGTCATCCCTAGTGGTCCATAGCCTTCTCTTTCTAGCCAGTGCAAAAGAGCTGCCGATTCTAGAACAAGAGCTCCTCCCATCACAAACAGGTCCGAGACATTTTTTAAACACGACCGCCTTTTCTCCCCAGAAAAGGAAAATATAGGATTTATTTTCTAAGATTAGATGTTGACAGTTCTCAATATTCCATATGTACTTTCAATATAAAACCTGAGCACACTCTCAGAGGAAATTAGAAGTTGCACTCCTATTGTAGTGCACAGGACACAAAGTCCAGATTCTCTGGTGCTTTTCTGTTTTCCAAGATAAGCAGCTAAATATTTTTTCATAATCCAGACCTAAATGTGGACTAGAAACAGGCAACTACTAAGCAATATTAATCACTGAYCATCTGATTTCCTACAGAGATATTAGAAACATAGATTCTCATTCATAGTACTCTCTACTATAACATTATAATGGACCCTTAAAAATAAAACCAAAATGATACGGTGCTACACATACACTATCTCATTTGTAGAAACAATCCTTTATACTTTTGTCTTATTTACCTGTTTTATATCATTGAAAAATTGCACACAACACTTGAAGAGCAATCAGTATATCAGCTTTGGAAGTATTCATCAGTGTCACTGTAAGACTGAAATTGCACAATGTGAAGTTTGTCACCATAGTGTACTACAAAGCGTTAAAACACTGAAAAAGAACGGTAGAAAGCTATTCAGTTAAACCAAAGGTGCTCCAAGTCCAAAGTCACTTGGCACAAGGCTCAAGTACGAAATGTAAAGCATGGAAAAAGGAACCTAGAGTGTTTTACAGAGCCAGCAGTACTTTTCAAATTTGGCGGGGGGGTGAGGGAGGAATTTTCATTGTAAAGTTATAAAAGGCTATGGCCTCTTCTGACAGCACTTAAATCTCATTGAAGATACTTGGAAGCACCAGGACAAAGCTCACTCTGCAAGTCACAGGAGAAATTATTATTTGCAGTAGTTGCTAGGGTCCAAAACCTACAGGTTAACATAATTGCTTCCTGCAGCTTGCACTTCCTCAGCCTTCTAGAGCTGCTACGTATAAATATGCTACTAGTATGTTGGCTAAAACCACTGCTGCTGCTGCTTTGTAACGAAGAGTACCAGTTGCTGGTCAGGCACCAGGCTGAGCACTCGCTGTTTTACAGAATGCAGGACTACATCACAGACTAAAACGCCAAGCCAGGCAGCAGTGACAAGAGGTTGGAGTTGGAAATACCTTCAATTACTTCATCTATTTCAGTCCACGCATCAACAAATAAACAAAACCTGACACATGCCAGAACACACTCGCCCTTTTATTCCTGTAACCTCTTATTCCTAAATAAAGTAATAAAGATACATATTTTTAAAATGGCATTCCTATGAAGAAAGCATCTCTATCTTAGATTTAGGAAATCCCCAAAACTTAAAGCAGTGCTGTTGTCCTAATAAAACCAAAAGGTTTAAGAACAATTCATCTTTCATATGTCTTATATAAATATCCAAGTTAGGATTAAAAAGCCTATTTGTATTTGGACTACCAGAAGTATTGTCTGAGTAAAATACCCTTGCCTCTTGAACACATCTTGTGGAATTCTATTTATACTCCAGCATTTCTAAATACATGAAAAGCAAAACCATAGAAATACTTAATCAGGATTTCTAGATTTTAATTGAAGAAACAGAGAGTCTTCTAAAACACTGGACATTGCATAGTCCCCACTGCCCAACAAACATCCAGTTTATTTAAATGTCCCAATGTGATACCCCTTAAACACCTTGGAAAAATTAAAGCCTTCACAATCTTAACAGGAAAGCATACTCTTAGAACAAAGATAAATTGTAGCTTACTGAAACAAAATTGCAACACTTGTACACACAGTTAAGAAACAAGAAAACTAACAGGCATTTCCTTGCATACATGCCAATCTCCACACTAAGTTGTGAATCTACCTTGCRTCTTCCTGACCACTTTGATATCTTCACACAAAAAGACACAAAGCAACCAAGTAAATCACCCACAATTTCACATAAACAGATTACAAGTGATGAGTTGGGATTTTTTTTTTCCCCATAATAAGGAATGGGGTTCTGTGGGGTTTTTTTTGTTCATTTGTTTGTTTGTTTAGTTTGAGAAGCTCCAAGTAGCATAATACCTTGAAAAAACAGTATTTGTGGATTTAATGATAATACTTACAATTGATCCTTAGGTTTCCTACAGCCATGTAGAAGATTCAAGTTAAAGAAAGTAAATGTTTCTAAATAAAAAGCAGCAAGATAAGTAAAAGGATAACTAGCATAGTGATTGATTTAAATTAGAACTCAATCTCCAAATGCTTATCTGAAATTAAATCACATTAYATGTAGTTTGACAATATCATTTATTAATTTGAGATAACACTTTTGTGAGGTAAGGCAAAAAAAAAGTCTAGCTAGAGGTTCGAAGAAAACAAGGCAACAGCATTACGGAAGTCACTGATAACTGTATGGAACTTATATTTCTTTTTGTTGTTTTTAAAAAACTGGAAAATTTTAGTAAGTTTCTTARAAGGGTTTCAGTTGAAACAATATTCCATTATGGTGAAATATTATAGTGGAATTTCAGGGTAGAATATTAACAAAATATAAAGTCAAACATCATGATGTGGAATAAATTAAGTTTTCATTCTGTTATGGCTAAAGGAATCATCTCAGTACTTTGATCATGGCTAGGAAAACATATGTGCATCAGAACTCATAATCTAATTGCTAAAATAAATAGTAGAACACATTTTTCAGAAATTAGAAAAGCAATACCTACTGTAAAAAAAACATATTACACAATGGTGTTTCACAGCCTTTCATTCAATGATCATGCTTTGCTCTTTAATTCTGTTCTCCATAGAAATTGATCCAAGTCTACACATGTGTAAAATTTCTATGTTCTGAAGAGAACTTTGAGAACTGCTTAAGTGTCTTCCTTTCCACAAAAGGATATAATAAGGATTTTCTAGCAGTAGGGAAGCCATACAGGCTTCTTTAATCATTGGGCGGGCCATTAATGTGCGTCTCCTCCAGAAGTGCTAAAATATACAGGCATATATTAAGATAAAAACTGAATATATAACTTCTCAATAACAGTAGTATTTACATTTCATAAACATACATGATCTCCAGTGCCTGCTAAATGAATGCACACAGGTCTGTGTTTGCTGTTCCATCTTCTGGGCATAACAAACTGAAATCTATGAGRAAAAAAGTACTTATTAAAACAAGGTAAGCATATCTATTTACCCTTTTTTTTTTTTTTTTGCATCAGAGAAATTAATAATAAAAAAAAAGCTCAAACATTTCTGTAATGCATGCTGGCGAGCTGCCATTGGTACAGCGATATCRCATTTCATGAATGCATCCAACAAAGAAATGAATCCAGAAGCAGGGCAGAATAAATGCCAAACAAGAAAGGGAGCTGAGCTGAAAGATCACGTTCCAAAAAAAGGCCACTACCTCATCATCACGAATTAAATTTTGCAGAGTGGAGAAATCGAACGTCAGATGAACAGCCTAAACAAGTATGACTAGATCTCCCAGGCAGCATTATTTTTCTCCTGAGGTTGCAACAGTTGAAATGGAAAAGATAAGCAATTTTTGCATAAAAAGTACATAACATGAAACTAATCTATAAACTCAGCATCTATAATTTAAAATCTTCTGCTGCTACTCTTAAGTCTTTCACAGTCTAACTCTCTAGAGCAGAGCAATCACTTCTGTGGAGTTGCCAGCACTTCCCCACGAGATGGAGCACTGCTACATTCAGCAGCACTACATTTTTTAAAACAGGTGGGAGGGAACTGGGAGTTCAAACAACAGTTRCACACAATTGGAATTTGTGGAGCACAATATCGCACAATTGCTCTAGCAATTTTGCTCTAGCAAGATTAGGACAAATCTAGAGCAAATTGCTCTAGCAATATTGTCCAAAATACAAGGTTAACATAAGGTAACTTCAAACTATAAGGYTGTATAAGGAAACAGTGTACCATATTTTCAACTATTATGCTAATTAAACCAGTAATGCCAAGAGAACAAGGAGGTAAAATAGAACAGATATTTTTACTATTGAACTTTTTGAACTACACTCTTTAGCTTTACATATGTAAGTACACATAAAGTTTGACAATGCCAGTATCAACTTGTTCTGAAAGACTTGTATGTCCAGTTTTAACGTACAAGAAAAGCATGACAACTACCTAGCCTAAACCTAGAGCAACAGGAATTACTCTTTCCTCCTAAGCCCATTCTTCTGCTTCAGAGCAATGTTAGCATCACACTAGCATAAACACAACTAGGTACTTTCTGACTATTACGAATTGAGCAGCTTTTACATAAAACATTCTCCTGCTCCATGTAAAACAAACAATTTCTCTCTTGATGAAACGATCCTCTTGTTCTTTGGCAGTGGAGAAGGTACTCCACAGTTTTGTGCAATCAGATGTCTATGCTCAAAACACACACACACAAAAAAAAACCCTTCTCAATCTGCCAAAGCTTTAGCTGAAATGATTGTTACTAATGGGGCAAGGTAATTTCATTTACGTTAATGTAACTGAAACATTTCAGGAAGTGTTACATTATCCACTTTCACTACAAATTAAATTTGAAGCTTTCCACATTACCGCTACTAATTACAAAAGCTCTTTTTCAGTCACAATYAAGTCAGCATATTATTTCATTATCCAGTCAAGTTTCCATTACTCTTTTTTTCCTACTTCAGAATATTATTACCCTTGACTAAAAACCTATGGGGTAGAATAGGCASTACTTCCATTTTAGAATAAACTCCCCCAGCAAAGTATGTTATTACACACAGATGAAATGGGCACATACATGAAAACTAATTTCACTTCTGAAGTAAAAAATTAAGCATGCCAACACAAGAAATATTTTACAGGTATTACAACTGGACTCATAGTAAGACTGCTTTCTAGTTATGGACTGTTTTTACTTTTCTCCAATACCAATTTTAGAACTTAAGTGCAACTTGATTTCTAGTACCTTGCTATAAGAGATTCGACTGGCAGGACACCTGGAACATAGTGAGCCAAAGGGGAAATGAAGTGACCCTCAAGGATTTTACAGTCTGACTGCTCCTCAACCTGTAAAGAGAATGACACAGTAACAGCGTATTTGATGTTAGTTTTAAACTTTTTGATTTGACTATTTGAGGGTTAGCATTCCTTTAAGACTTGCTATATCTATCCTCCATAGTTGTCCTTTTAGAAAGGAAAATTAAAATAGTGTCTATACAACACTACTTTATTCTCTCAAATCCTTCCATCAAATTCATAATCAACGTCTGTTTCAAATGGTTCCTTCCCCCCCACACACATTGTCACACATTTTTGCCTCTCCCAATTTCTAGCCAGTCACCAAAAATGCAAATTAAGAAAGCATTTAGTTTGCTACAGAAAAGAGCACGTACACATCTCAACTGTGCAACTACTCTTTCTTCCTGACCCTTTATTCACACTTTCCAAATTAAGAATCTTCACACTGAGAAATATTTCCATCTTTACACTTTATTTGAAAACGCAAAGCCCTCTTTCCTCCCTCTGTCTGGCCATCTCAGAACTTCCATTATGTTATTTTTTTCAACTAGAGCTTTACCCCTACTCATAGGGGGGGAAAAAAAAAAAAAAAGATGCTCTTTCCATGCTCTTTCCACTGGGAACACCTGTGAAGGTAGTTAATGTACTCACTGGAAGAGCCCTGATCATCGGGAGCAGACTGCACACTGCTGGAGACGTTTCCCCACCCTATCTCAACACATTTACCCAGTGCAGTCCGCAGCTTCCCAACCTCGAAGCAAAAGATGCAGCAAGACCAGCTGCATCATGAAACACAGGTTCACAGGAGATCAAAATTTAACTCATCTACCCTCTAAAGGGAGCTCATTAAGGACTTGATGTCACCTTTATGTATTCATGATTAGGAAAATATATTCAGTTAAACTAGATGCCTTGTTTTTAAAAGTACCTTGTCAATGAATACTGGGTAATCTTTCGAAACCAGCTTCTGGCATTTTTCCCTGTTTCCAATAATCTTTCTGAATTCAAATATTCTGTTAAAAGGAAACAATACAGAAGATGCATTTTTTTTAATTAAAAAATGAGAGCATGGTCAAAATTCTGAATCAGGCCAACCTAATGTTCACTGAATATTTCAGAAGCTAATATAAAATCATAAAAAAAAAAAATGAACCCAGCTTCATCTTTACAAGCTAATCAATGCTACCAAAAGGAAAAAATAAGAACATTTTTTTTTCAGTAAAAAAGGGAGGAGGGAGGCTCAGGTACATTGCCGGAGTGTGAATTTTAAATAGCACTTTACTTTTTTTTTTTTTTTTTTTTTTTTTTTCTCTCAATAATTAATGTTATTTTTCTGGGACTAATGAAGACATAAGAATCTCCTATGCTTCCCTGTAGCCAAATTGATATGATCTGAATGGGAAGAAAATTGCTGAACTGCCAGGCTCCAGGTATAGCTGTCAATGAAGCTTAACTGGCCACAGGGTTCCAACAATTCATGGGAGCAATGGTTGATATTTCCGAAAGATCCAAATGAACAAGATGAATGGATCAAACATCCTAAAGCTCAACAACACAACTCCAAAAWCTTGCCCCGGACAGATTTACCCCCATGTAATAACACAGCCTGGGAAATACACAGCTGGGTAGCAGCTCTGTGGAAAATGACATGGGAATTTGAGTAAATAACAAATTGAATGCAAGTCGGCAGCATTCCCTCGCAGCTGCAAAGACCAACAGCATACACACAAAGGTGTTACCTGACCAGCTAAGAAAGCAGATTTGGGTCAAAAGAGTAGATCGGAGGTGTGAGGGATATTGAAATATCTAAGGAGCATTAGGTCCAAAACATTTATTTTGATAGTTTCAGTCAATACTACAGGACCATTCTGGGCAGAAGAATGGTATAACACATGTTTCTCACCAACCTTCCAAACACCAGAGCAAACCAGCATGCAAACAAAAGGGAACAAAGTCCAGGTTAGGACCACAAMAAAAATAGTCCTAGTACATATCCTTTTTTATCTCTTACAGAGAACAGCAACTACAGTAATCATTTCTGAAAGCGCAGGTTAGGTGCAAGACGTCAGTATGCAGAGTGAGCTAAGTGAAAAGCTGTTCTGCTTTAGTGTGACACTAAATCCTTTTTAATGGATTTATGCAATTCCTCTTTAGTTAGACAGAAGAGGCTTCTCTACAGGACAGTCATAAAACTGACATCTCCAAAGAATCATATGTGTGATATTCCAATATGATACTTACTTGATAATACTATTTCATCATTATCTCTCTTTTTTAGATGTATGGACTCTCAAATAGCGCAAACAAAAACACATATGGCAAATTAATTCCATTTTCTTTAAATCCATTCCCTCTCTTATTATGGAAACACACGACTTATCTGAACAAAACCTTTAATGCAATAAAGCTTTAGAACTTCTTTTTATTTTTAAAGATAACATACAGCTCATGCTGTTATTTTGTCTCATCTAGGAAGTCACCTTTTCAGATCTTCTGGCTTTCCCCATCCTCTGATGAAGAGTTTAGTGAGAAGAAGCTTTCTGTATAAGACATCCAATTTACTCACACCCATTAGCACCAAACTGACATCTAGAAGGGAAAGAAAAAAAAAAAAAAAAGAAAGAGAAGAAAGGATTTTATGTCAAGGGCAAAGTTAATTCCTTTTAAATAAATAATTTCATATTCCAGTCTACCATTTTAATTCAAGAAAGTTAATCTTGACATTCAGCCTCAGTCAATTCCTTTAGTTTTGAACAAAATACAGAAATAGTCAAAACACAAAGGAAATTCAGACTACAAATGAGATGCCTGATATGACTTGGGAGGTATTACATCATAGGTGACAAACTCACTGAAGATGCAAATGAGGTCACAGAACTGTATTTTCAAACAAAGCTAGTTATAGTTGACTGTACTGACAAATGAGCAGTGGTTTGGCTCTCTGTCATGTAAATACAGCTATGATGACAAAAGTTTTCGAAACTGTACGAGCTTTTATAAACATACTTCAAAATGGAAGCCTGAGGTAATACACACTTCAAAGCAGAACCCTGTTCTAGTCTACAAGACTATACCTGCTCAACTATGTAATTATACATTCATAAGAAACTGAGGCAGAGGGAGGGAAAAGGAGAYAATTTCTGTTACTGATGCAGAGAAAGCATATTTTTGTCAATTTGTCTTCACTAGTATCTTAAGAACATATTCATTCTATTTTATCCCTTTCTTTCCAGTACTTGCTAACACATTTCTTGAGCTTTTGAAAAAAATTCAGCTCTCRCTTCTTTCAGGGAAGAAATGTCAACAAAATCCTCAACAGTATTTAAACAAACATACTTGGCTCAAACATGGCCAAACTATCAAAAAGATATTAGGGCAAACTTTTTATTTTCAAAGCAATACTTACTGAAGTAAATAGAAAACCCCTACTGTGCTTTTCCAACGAGGAGATAGAAGAACTCAAACCTGGATTCTCTGTCAGCAGGATATAGGATTTTCCCGTTAAAAAATATTCCAGGATCTGTCTATGCATAAAGAAAAAAAAGACTTAATACCAAACATTTTGTTAGCAGGTTATCTTCAACAATTGTCAACATTTCCAATCCTTTCCATAATAAGTGAGCTAAATAAATTATATTATTTTGTGTTGTTATAAWGTTAACTCATACTGCCATTGTTTATTTATTCAAGCACAGTTTAAATATGGTCATGCTTAAAGTAAATCTGACTACAAGTTAAAGTTGTGGTCAGATGAATACATCCCCATACTTTTAAGAAGCCAATACTAAGGTATATCATTTATAAATACTAAGAATCAAGATGCAGAAAAACAGAAATAGTACTTAAGAGTGACAAGCATAATAACTACACAAATACTAGAACAAGTACTTTAGAAAGYACCATCATTCTGTTCCATCTCTATTGAACAGAAGCAAATACTTGAAATCACCAGAAGGTCAAAGCACAGACCTTTAACCCTGTTGATTGTATCAGCTATCATTCTATGAATCTTCTGGAGTTGGTCATTTACTCCCAATCCATTCTGATCCATATCTGCTTAGTCTAGTAGAATAAACTACCCTGGTATCGAAATTTGCATACAAGGAATATCCAAATAATGCTATGTGATGCAATATAACCAAGCTGTGACACAATTTAAGTACAATAAAAAATAGTAAATATTTGTAACGGTAATGTATCGATTCAAAGTGATTTAGGCTCTCACTATCAAAGATATATAGGTTTTGCTTCTTAACTCGAAGTGACAAGTGAAAATTGCTACTTAAAATTCCAGGTACCTTTCAATTGCAAAGGAGTAAGAAACCTTCTAAATCTCTTATTTCCTCTGACCACGCCTTTATATTTAGTAAATATTTTCTGATATCATTTGTCTTTTCTTCCTTTATCACTGTGGATAGGAAAAAAACAAACATGTTAAATGGCTGCCTCTACAGAAAATGGAGATTTTCTACCTAAAGATTGCAAGTTAAGCTTGCCTGGGAAAAGCTGTATTCATTTCAAGCAACCCCTTACGCTCTCCTCCCTTTAAATAAAAATAAATAAGTAAACAGGAAAAATAAYTGCACTCATTATGTCAGAGCATAGCGTAGCATGGCAAATCTACTCTCAGGTTAAATGTAAATGTAAAAAAAGACAAAAACATGTAAAATCAGAATCAATACAATTTATTTTTGGCATATTTATCAGCAAACTGCAATGAATGGGACGATGCTTYAGAGTGAAAGCCTGAACCTCAGAGAGGAGTGTGAACAGCTGGAGGCAAGGAGTTRTTAGGTACCTTTCCAAAGAAAGCCACAGCAAGAGAGCACTGAACCAAACAAGAGGCAAAGTACAAACAGGTAAGCAGGGAAGGAAGAAAAACAAACAAACAAACAAGAAWAAAAAAGACAAAACAAACCCCACTGCAGTAGTCTATCTGATGGCCATTATCAATCTATTATAGTAGGCAATCAATCTACATAGTATCTATACAGCATCTAACTATAGTCAATCTATATGGTAGTCAGTCTATTGGCCATTAGCAACTATTACTCCTAAATCTTCTACAGTTCATACTGCTTGWCAAAGCAGCATACACATTAGGAAAAAAAATGCAGTTTCCCTAAGTATTCCGAGACCTGGAATAAAACAGTAAATACAGGTGAGGGGCTAATCCACCTTAGCCTGTGAAAAGGAAACCAGAAGCTCAATTTCATAGCACAGGGGAGGRAAAGGGCCAAAGCCACCCATTGGAGAAGTCTCTTACAGCAGAATCTGTAACATCATTGCTTCGTTCCTTCCTTCTATCCTCCTGAGAAACAGGGCTCATTACATCCTTTCCTTCGCCCAGTCTGGAAATCTACTGCATTCACATTGGTAGGAATGTTTCACTGGTGTATCAGAGGAAAATATCTGCCAACCTCCACAAGGCTGCTCTGCTTTTGGATGCAAGGAAGTGGTGCAGCACTCTTATAGTGCTAGAAGTGACGAGCGGTGCTGAACAGAGGCACAGCAATACACAGTGAGCTGGAAAGGACAGCTCAGAGTGAGCACACACCAGGCTAAATCTATGACTGAAGCCAAATACGTGAGAATACACAAAGATGCTGCATTTCACAGTGAGTTCAGAATCCGAAATGATGAGCTTCCCATGTTGTATTAGAAAGACGCTAAAACAAGCTTCTAGACAAATACATTATATTTAAATGCTACATTGACTGGAAGTAAAGAACTGTCTCATTTCTTATTCTGTTTCATTGATTCAGTCAAGAATCTGCTGCAATCCAGGATATTTCAATTAATAAGGTCTGAAGTCAAACCACCACTGGAAAGAGTACAGAAAGTAAAGAAGAATCATTCCAAGTTSTGGAAAGAAATGTTAGCTCATATGGAAGCATATTAAATAATGACTTAGTGAAACTCACAACACCAAGAAAAAAAGGCAGGGCCACAACAATGTTTTCCAGAAGATCAGGAAGTGAAACTTCGGGCTGTAAACTATACACTACATACTTGTCCTGGGACAATTGTTTTATTTTCTTCCAGAAACATTGCACTGCATGCTAGCTATACACATCTTGTGTGTGCACACTGCAATGACATAACTAGAGACGCAAAAATTCATCTAAAACCCAATCCACAAAAGGTCAGCTATTCCTCTATATGCAGTGCATACAGATTAAGGTACGTGAAGCAAAGCACTGAAAGAGTAGATAAAGACTTCAATAAAGGCCCAAGCTACTGCTTCTGTACAAGAATTACCAAACAAGTCCAAGAGAAGAGTGAAAATGATTAAGCTAAGCATACCTATTTTAAAAAACTTCCTCAGAGTTCTTATTTTTTTCACAGCCACATTACTTCCAAAGAACCGCTGCTCTTCTAGTCATAGCCCTGTTACACTTCCCTTTCCCCGCGTGAGAAACACAGCTTATAAAAACACCACGAAGCGACCACAGCAACCAGCCATAAACAAGCCAAGCAGGAATTCAGCATGGCGGGAGGCAGAGAAGCCTGGGCATAAACAACAGGGCCTAAGCCGCAAGCTTTACACCTATCGCAGYGCAGCTGTCACCTCTGCCCACCTATTTTTTTTTTCCTCTCTATGTGATCTTTATCAGCAGTGCAGGACTACATCTCAAGGTTTACTGGTCCAAAGGGCAGGGCGAACCCAACGGACGAGGCCCGCGCACTCTCCGTCCACTCACCAGTGGCTCGCCAAGAAAGCGGCCAACGGCCGCCCAACGGCCGCCCAACGGCCCCTAACGCCGCAAGGAGGGGGGTGGGGGGTGGCGAAGGGCCCCCCGCGCACCCACCTCCCGCAGGACGCCAGCTCCATCTCCCCGGGACGCCGCAGCCCCTCGCAGGACGCAGCCGCCCCTCCTCGCCCGCTGCGGGACCCGCGCGCGACCCGGCCGTTACGCGAAGGTCACTCACCCGGTAGCCGCGCGCGCTCGCGCCGCCGCGCCTCAGGCACCACAGGGGCGGGGCGCGCGTGGGACAGAGGGGCGGGGTCAAGCAGGCGCGCGCAGGCGCCCTGCGGGACGTGCCGAAGGTCGCCGGCACGGGCTCCGCCCCCTCCCTCCAGCACGTGACCCGCGCCCAAACCGCTCTGCGCGCGCGGCGGTTAACGGCCGTTAACGGCCGCCTCGGGACAGCGCCCACCCGCGGCGAGGCGCGAGTGGGAGCCGCGCGCGCCCTCTGCTGGCGGCGGCGGGGGAAAAGGGCTGCCGTAGGCGCGGCGGCCGCGGGAGGGAGGGWTAGGAGGCGCGACCGGCGTTTGGAAGCGGCTGGTGCTCGCTATGGCCGCCGTGCTCTCTGGCTCCGCGGCGCTCGCTGAGGGGCAGGAGCCGTTGCTAAGCCCCGGGGGACAGGAGGAGAGCAGGTAGGCGCTGTCTGCGGCGCTCTCCGCCGTGCCCGCCCGCTCCTGGGCCGTGAGGCGGTTTCGTGCGGCAACAGGCGCCACGTATCCCGCCGAGCGGCGGCTRCGGATCGGGAAAGCGCCGACGGCCATTCAGCCCTTCCCCGGAGGGTTCCTTGGCGTCGGGGGCAGCGATCTGCCCTGTCCGCTGGTGCCCGCGACGGGTTATCGTGGGGCTGCGTCGCYTCGGAGTCAGCGGGGAAGTCACGCGGGGAACCACCCATGGGGCAGGCCTCCCTCTGTATCCCCCCGTGGGTGCTTCGCTCCGCAGGAACAGACGGGCTTTAGCAAAGCTGCCGGGGRCACCAAGGCGAGCCGCTCACCCCGAGCGCTTTCAGCGCCTTGACTGTAGGTGCAAGGTCTCGTGTCTTTTCGGGGCAGCGGCCCGACCTGCCGTGTGGAGGTGGTGAGTGGCTGTGCTGGGCGGGGGAGGGCGAGGTCGCTCCGGGGAAAACACTCACCTGGGAGGCTCCCAAAGAACGGGGTGCACATTCAGAAGACCCAGCACTTGTGCTGGTRTAAGCCAGCTTTATAGCGCAGTGCCTTTTTTTTTTTTTTGTGCGAGGGGAAAAAAAAAAGGACTTTAATACGTTTGGGTGGCTACTACTACCCCATTTGTTGAAGTCTTCTTACTCTTGAAGTATACTATGTCATTTAAGAAAAATCTTGAATGTATCCAAATGTGCATACACATGGTTTTGCTGGTATATGAAAAGTTTAACTTCTTTCATTCTATGGTGGGCAAGAAGTACATTTATAAAGAGYGTTTAGGAATTTAGAACATCCTTTTGCGAAAAGCAGTTCTGTCCAACCAAAGGTGTAACTTTTATGAAGAAACAAGCCTACAAATTACGCTCTGGAATAGCTGTGATAGTTTTAATATCTGTTGTGTGCATTTTTATATGTATAATCTTTATACAATGTTTTTGYAAACTATAAGCAGTGTTCAGGCATRTATAACCTAGATCWGAATATTTCAGAAATATGTAGTTTAGGGTAGTTAGAACAATTCAAAGCTGTTCATTAAGAAACTTGAAATGTTCCTACTCCTGAAAAAAAAGTAAATAGGACTCAAAAATGCCTAAAAATATTTTTTAAAAAAACAGCGTTCATGAAATTTGTAATTACTATTTTAATCTTTAGAACACTTAACATCTTTAACAGTTTATACATGATTCTCAAAGGCATTGCATGAAATYTGTAGTGTTCCAAAGTGTCTGCACAAAGAGACTGCAGGACAGAAGATCTCTCTAGATAAAGCTTTCTTTGTGTAACCTACGATTTGAACACAATGGCACATGATGGCATTTGTGTTAGCTCTTATTGATGCTTAGTAATTTGCTTCTAAAAGAAAGCTGCAGTAAGTCTAGAAGTGTAGTTTGGTGTATTCCTTACAGTGTAAAAGTCCAATCCTGAATGAGAATACACAATTGTACTGAGATTTCTGTGAAAAATATTTTCAGTATACTGTGGGATAAAAACAACTCAGGAGGATCTTTATATGATTTTTTTTTTCTTTTACCTTTTGATTTAAAAGCAGGGATGTTGTGGAAACACAAGAACATTATAAAAGTAGATGGAGGTCCATCTGGATTATGCACCTTACTATGTTTCTCAGTAGTGTAGGTGAGTAAACACAGCTGAATTTCAATATTATTTGCTTAACTTATCTTGATATGGAAACTATAGGCTGTTCTAGATTTCATCTAGTTCAGCTACTTTAGTATAGTAATATTTTTAAAYTCTTAAAAACATGCATTTTCTGATTGTTCAGGAGAGAAGAGATGACCAACAAGTCAAATAGAAAGTTTAATGAAATTATTTAATGAAATGTGTTGAGCAATACTCTGTTTTGAGAATGAGTGATATATTACCTAAATCTTGGTGGAGAAGATAATGGTAGAGAAGGGTTGTGACTCAGAACCGAGCAGAACAAAGATCRCTGTTTTATGATCCTAAATTGAACTTTTAGAAATTGAAAGAGAAAGCAATAATGCTTCACTTTTAAGAGATAGAATCTTTTTAGGAATAGTTGATAACTATTTCAAAATGTGTATTGGAGCTCTTTTTCTCTGTTGTGGGTTTTTCATCTCCATTGCAGAGTAAATTGTTGTTTCAACCTGTGTAATGGGCCCCTGACAGTTGGTTTTTGACTTTCACTGATTTTATGTTGTCCTAGAAATCATCTTGATAATCAYAGGATTCTAGAATGACTTTTTTATTTGATGAATTAAAATTGATAATTGGTAATCAATTATATCTGTATATGAAGAAATTCTCTTTATTCTGAGGAGCTTATGTATTTTCATTGAAAGAAGGAGAAAAGGGATTAGAAGAAAAATCACATGTGATTTGGTCCAAGTGTCAATATTGTCTTTGTGAAAGTTTTCTATTTCAGTGAACTGAATTTCTGGTAAATGTGGCAATTGGGAGTGGAGTAACTTGTGTTCTTTCTTTTGTGTACAAAAAAGTGGAGTAATTTTAGTTCTGTTTCTTCCCATCTCTCAGGTTTCTCGATTGTAGTTATGTCTGTATGGCCATATCTCCAAAAGGTTTGTAGATATTAACACACTTTTTATTAGTAACAACAGAAAAGCCTTGCTCAGAATGTGACTTGGTGTTTTATTTAGGAAGAAGGACAGAAAGGGGAAGTGTGTGGTTAAATTTGGACTTTTCTTTTGCTGTCCACCTTGGCAGCTTTTACTGTTTTGTGCAAAATCTGTCGGTTGGTGTACTGAATTGGTAAAAGTACATCATAATCCTGAAATTTTTGTGTTTTTTTTCTAATATATTTCAATCTTTTTCCTTGGGCAATAAATTCATATAAATATTTTTATCTGAAGCATTTTTACGATTAAAACATAACACAAAGAGCTTTTTTGCATTTTGAAATAAAAAGGAAATTAAGATGAAGATTGTGCTATGCAAGTGTCAAAGATTCTTAGCATAGTCTTTGATATTCATAATGGAGAAATATTTGTGTTCCCAGATGGTTGTTTTTATTTTTTTATTGTTGATTTCTTGCTATAAGTGGTTTTAAAGGTCTCTAAATCTTTAATTTAATCTGTGCWAGGATTTCTCTGCTCCAGCAGCTGTGGAAGGCATTTCCAGATGTAGATTGAGAGGTATATMTTCTAGGTAGGGCAGTAGAAATATTGTTAAAAATAAGGTTGAATTCCTGGAGGAAGAAAAAGGAAGTACTTAGTCAGCCTTGTAAATCAGGCCAGATTTAGGCATGCACATGACTTAGAGATTCCTTGTTCCTGATCTATAAGCTGTTTTACACTACTGTTGATGTTATAGCTCCATAGCTTTGGTGGTGTTGTATTAGAAATATGAGAATTTGCTGCAAATGAACCACCACGAGATGCAGAGAATAAAGTAAGCAGTTTAGCAGTTGGGTGCATTGCCTGAGACAATTCCTGAGGCTTATTAGACCACAACTGCTTCTGAGACCTACATACACACAGTGTTGCGTAGAGGTAGGTTTGACTCCAAGTTGCATGGTACCACACACCCTCAACAATACGGTTCAGAGCCTTAGGCATTTCAGGTGCTGTTCCTAAAATGGTTTTGTTGCTGTTATTAAAAGCAACTGTAATACAGTATTCACAGGATTAATTTGTTTCTGCAGGTTGATCCAACAGCAGATGCGAGTTTCTTGGGCTGGATTATAGCTTCATATAGCATTGGCCAAATGGTTGCCTCTCCTCTGTTTGGTTTATGGTCCAATTACAGGCCAAGGAGAGAACCTCTTGTCGTGTCAACGGTTATTTCAGTAGCTGCTAATTGCCTTTATGCCTATGTCCATGTACCTCATTCACACAACAAATACTACATGCTGATTGCACGTGCTCTTGTGGGATTTGGAGCAGGTAACCACAGCAAAATTTACACTTATGAAATTTATTTAACTGTCTGTCTTGTATAAGATCACTAACGTAATGATAAATCTGGTACTAAAATATCTTGTGCATGGAAGCTTATGAATTACCAAAGCAAAGAGCTAGCCAGTACTAGTTCATAATCTTATGTAATTATACAGTTGTGTTTAAGTACTAGAGGGAGTACTGGATTGTATTTTCTTGGGAAATAATAAATAACTGAAATAAATGTAAGTGGAAATATAATCTCATAATACTTTGTTGTTGTTGTTTTTCAAGGAAATGTAGCTGTGGTTCGATCGTATATTGCAGGTGCCACTTCCCTTACAGAAAGAACAAGCGCTATGGCCAACACCAGCGCTTGCCAAGCAGTTGGCTTCATATTAGGACCAGGTAGAGCATATCTTATTTCCTCACTTCTCCATGGGTTTTTATGAGCTTTTTGATTTTTATTATCTAACCTTCCCTGGTAGGAAATCAGACATTATAACTAGGAATTCCCAGCACCAGCATGGGGATGGAATGTTAAAGCATAGTTCACCACTGATTTTAAAATTAATAAATGGATATATTAATGTGTAGGTCAGTTTGAGCGGAACACTTTTAAAAAGAAACTTTAATTAATTGGTACCCTCAGTTATTTCAGAGCAGGTTTCTGAAAACAAAAAAAGGTATGACACATGTAATATTTATATTTTACTTAACAGTTAGAACAACTTTCTAATCATCTAGATTTATGTATTTATTCTATGTGTGATTTAATATTTTCATAATGATTCTTCAATTTTTTTTAATATGCTTAATATGTTTTAAGTTTTTCAGACTTGTTTTACACTTATTGGAGAAGAAGGAGTAACATGGAAATTAATTCGGCTTCAGCTAAATATGTATACAGCACCAGTTCTATTTGGAGCTCTCTTAGGAGTTATTAATATCATTCTCATCTTCGCTATATTCAGGTAACCAAATCAAGAGAGAAGAATATTTTACTCTGTTTTAGTAAGTTTTGACAATTGTAAAGGTACTTAGAAGCAGGAGAAATAAACCTGAAATCACAAGTGCTAAGACTATAAGCCTTTATTTTTCCAATTTACTTTTCAGAATTACTGCCTTCCCTAATGCAAATATATATATWTTTTCATCATGCTAGCAAATTAATCATAGAGATATTATGGCTAGAGTATGGAAAAAGTGAGGAAAGCAAAAAGACAGAGTCATTAGATCATAAGCTTAGCCTTGTTACATTTTTAATGTTGATGGGTTCTCCCCATGGATTTTTTCTAAAGAGAAATAACCTTAGCTTGTCTGCAGTGTTCTCGCTGTCTATATCTTTTAAGATCTGAGTTCTTGAAAGTTTTATATATGGATAGGTAGATATATGTATTTACCTTACTGGTTGCAGTGAGAGCAGATGCTGCACAGATATGTAATATTTTTTCAACTAGAATGTTAACTTTCTAGAGTAGGCTACTATTAATGAAGATGCTGGGAGTAATTGGAATATAAGATAATGACAGGGAGAAATATTTTAATAGAAACTTGAGCCAATAATAGATCAAATATATTTTTTTTAATGATAACACTTCTGAATTTCTAGAGAGCATCGAGTGGATGACATGGGAAGACAATGCACGAGTATCAATTTTGAAGAAGAAGGTATGGGTGTTTCCTTAGTAGGTGAATGCCAGCTAACCATGATTTCCTAGGAAATAGATCGTCTGGCCTGACTAATAATGGCCACAATATCTGARTGATGGAGAGCAGATTTGCCCTTTGCTCCCCCTTGTTCACAATGTCCAAAATACCTTTCACCATATCCTTCATATATTTTCTGCTTTTAGTTCCCTCACAAGACTGAGTGTGCGCACATCAGATAGGAGTCTCATGTATGAACATGCTTGCTCAGATTACAGCAACCAAAGCTGTTGTAATAAAGAGAATTTTGCCTTCRTGCAGCTTTGACTTTGGAAGAGAAACAACAAATAATGCTTTCAACTATAAAGACATTTAGAGCACTTTGCATATTTGATTGTCACTCAGAACGTGTCAGTCCCAGCGTTGAAGCGGGACAGCATAAGGTACAATCTGCTTAGAAATAATGTTCCCCTGTGGCTAAGGCCATTAAAAACTGGAAATGCAATTCCTTTTCTATATAACTGCCGAAACATRCACCAAACTCTGCAGTACACAATGATGAAGTCATTACTCTTTGTAACTTTGGGTGCTCTATGATAGCTTAATCAGTAGATTAGAATATTCTCTTGTTTTGTTGCAGAAACTGGTGGTCTGGATCAGGATGCAGACGGAAACATCGACCAAGTTGCTGTTGTGTCAGTCAACTTCCTTTTTTTTGTCATCTTGTTTGTTTTTGCTGTCTTTGAAACGTAAGTTTCTCTCTTTTTTTCTCTCAAAATGCTTTGAGAGAACACTGGAACACTAATGTTAGGAGTTGAGTACCTTGCTCTTCGTTATGTATTACAGTTTTGTGTAATTTCTTCGTATGAGTCTGACTAGCTCCAAAATGTTAAATGCAGCTCTTATTTCAATTATGATTAAAACAATTGTTTAATATAGATAATGTATTGTATTCTTAAATTATTTTACATTATTGCTTTTTAATATGAACAGGTAAGTTCACATGCAAACAGGTAAGTTCACTGCAAAATTTTGTACCTTAAGAAAAATAAAATAGAATGCCGTTACGTGAGATTGAAGTTCATTAGTTTTAGAATTTTATAAAACACTGAAGATACAAGATCTACTTGCTAAGATTTTGAGCTCCAGCCTAGCTAAAATTTCTTATAACAATTCTCTGTCTTCTCTGCATTATTTTAGAAAATTCCATTCCTAGTAACTGTTGGGGGGAGGTTGTTAAAGATTGAACAGCATTGAATGTGTATTATTATATTTGCTGGACCTGATTTTTTTTTTTTTTTTCGTTTCCATTATTCTTGCTTTGCTGTTACTCAATTATTTTTTCATAAGCTGAAATATATTACCAATGTTTCAAAATATAGCTGTCATAAAGTATTGGTGAAAATAGTTTAGTAGGATTGTTTTTAAAATCTTGCATGACAGCATTAGTTTATAACTAGCCTGTGTTGTCTTACTGTCCCCTTYAGAAGAGAAGGGTCCTGTACCAGTTCTGTTTGATGTTTAGGGCAAATGTATAGAAGCTGCTGAAAAGAAGTAGCTTTTTTTAACGAATGTCACTTTCTTCTGTCGATTTAGTATAGCTACYCCATTGACAATGGATATGTATTCCTGGACCAGGAAAGAAGCTGTTTTATATAATGGAATAATMCTTGGTGTGGTTGGTATTGAATCAGTTATTGTTTTCATGGTGGTGAAGACACTTTCTAAAAAGTAAGTTTATCAGAATTTTATTACTTTTATTAGATAAGTCTGAAAACATTTAGAATAAGGCCAAATCTKCATTATTTAAATCTTTTACTGGTCAAGGAGTTTGGATATACTATGACAACAAAGCACTTGCAGTTTTGATCCAGCTGTGATGCTGTAGTTGTTCTTTAAGTTCGCATGCTTTTGCACTTTTGGTATGTTGACACTAGAACATTTTTTGTTGCAGGTGTTTTGATCTGGCATCTCTTCCATAAACGAATAGGCTACAGAAATGTTAYTGTTGTACTTCAACAGTTTTGTTTGTTCTTTAGTTTAATGATATGAATATAGTGTGAAATATTTTGTTMCTAGCATTTTTTAGATACTAAACCATGACCAGGATGTAAGTGGTATATTTAATTACGATTTCACTGTTTGATAGAACCGGTGAGCGTGCTCTACTCCATGGAGGCTTAGTGATTGTCTTGGTCGGATTCTTTATTTTACTGCCTTGGGGGAAAAAACTACCAAATATCCAATGGCAAGGTATATTTGAAGTCATACTAAACTGTAGTCTTAACATTGTCTTGAAAGATTTTTGTTGCATTTTTTTAATCACGTGCATATTGCTTGCTTTTACAGAAATAAAGAATAATTCCRTTCCAAGGACAACTTTCAGTGAAATGTTAATGCCTTTCTGGAGTCTGGAAGCGATGCAGCTGTCATCCAACCACACCACAGAACCCACAGGCTGCCCTGTCTCCCAAGTCTGGTGCCTGAGCACTCCCAAGATATATCTGGCCCAGTATATCAGCTCCGATGTACTAATAGGATTGGGGTATCCAGTTTGTAATGTCATGTCTTATACCTTATACTCCAAAATTCTAGGCCCAAAGCCTCAGGTACGTGTGAAACCTGATTTATTTGTTTATTTATTTTCATTTGCTCTCCAGTACTTGCAGCCTCTTTATTAGGGTGAGAGATSTAGCTAAAATAGCTTATGTCATTAGCAAAACAATAATAAACTTCAATCACTGCAGAAGCTTTTGGGAATTCTAACTTGCTTTTATTGTCCTGGGCAAGACCCTAAATAAATTAGAAAACAAGGATTATGTTACTACTTATGTCAAATCTTACAGCATGAATATTTCAGAACAACAGCCCAAAGACTGTGAAATTTTTATGAGAGTTTTTAAGTCATTGTGTAATAACTGATTTTATATTGGGAATCTGATGATGGAAGAATATTGTCCTTAATAGCTGTGCTGTGAAGAACATGAATGAAGGCAAGTATCTATTAAAGTTAATTGAAATTAAATTTTGGCAGCAACTGGGAAGCTTTTATTTCTGTTATACTTCCAATTGATGTTTTGGAGCAGTGAAACACATATTGAGGAAATAATACTGCTTGACAGAAAAAAATGCTTCCTCTTCCCCACTTACCCTTTTGCTTATATRTTATATTTTGCTGTAAAAGACAAAATACGTGGAGCTAGAATGCCGCTTAGCTAGAAACCTGTAGTGTATAGCACAGTGTGTAGAGTATATAGCACTGTGAAGCTTTAATCCGTGAGCAGCATGTTCTGTATGAAGCAATTCAAATCAATGCTTAAAGAAAGCAGGCAGTACTCTTGGAAAATAATTCTAACAGGAGTTAAGAAAAATAAGAAATTGCTTAAACATTTGTGATTTCTTTTCAATTAGTATAGTTGGTATTTTTTTATAACTAACCAAATTATTCCTGTAGCAATGATAGCAGCTTTTGATCTTTTGTAGGGTGTCTACATGGGCTGGTTAACAGCCTCGGGAAGTGGAGCACGGATACTTGGGCCTGTGTTTGTGAGCCAAATCTACACTCACCTGGGACCACGCTGGGCGTTTAGCTTGATCTGTGGCATAGTTGTACTCTCTCTCTTAGTCTTGGAGATAGTATACAAAAGACTAATTGCATTTTCTGTCAGATATGGAAGGATGCAAGAATAGTATATTTAATACATGTATTAAAAAAAAAAAAAGGAAAAGGAAAAAAAAAAAGAAAGAAACACAGTAACAACCCCCACCCTGAAAACTATTTAATTGAATATTGCTTTTTTTTTATGGGGAGTGCCTAAAGACTGACCTTGTTAGTTGTATGCTAGGCATTATAGTTGTACTTATATGTTGATTGAACATGTCGTTTGGTCATACCCTAATATGTCCTGTTACATCTGTGTTAATACAGCTTTTGCATTCAGCTTTTCTAGCAGGAGAAGGAATGTGAACAAGCTGAATCAGTACCATAGCACAGTTGAAGTGTGCACAGTCTAAATGACACATCTGTGTACTGAATCGCAGTTGTGAAGGTCATAAGTACAGCCTTTACAGAAAGAAGTAAAATCAATCTTGATTCTGTGAATCTAGATTATTAGCTCTTGTAACTACAAGATTAGTTGAGCTGCATGCACTTTGTATGGAAACATGGCTACTTAAGGAAGTGAACATTTGGATGTTCAGTTTGCTAATTTGTAAGCATTGAYTCATACTCATACAAAAAGACCAACTTTAGAAACTGTTAAATATCAAGAAAACTCCAGGATTTCAAACAGAATGAGACTGTGAGAAATTTAGAGGAAGGTAAGTGCCTACTTCTCAAGTAGTTTGTATGAGATTTGGATACTTAAGTGGGTTAAGAGCCTTTGCGGGGGGCAAAAAAAAAGATGCCGTGGCTTTTACTTGAACTACACTAAACATGCAGTTTTTCTTCTACAGTATTGCTGAATCCCCTTTTATAACTAAAAGTACCATCTGCACAGAGTTGAATTATGTGCAACCTTTTTTAATCCTTCTAAAAGAAGGAGCTGCCATCCCTGATAATCCCTTACAGTTAAATGTCACTGGGAGAAAGGAATACACTGGGCTATCTGAACAACCAGTGCTAATGTTAATTAAGTCAARAAGGAGAAAATTTTTGACTCCTTGGYTGTTGATAATTACGTTAGACTTAAATTTCTGATAAGAGTGTAAGAAATGGGAATTGATAATATTTGAATCATTTGATGTTTGTTTTTATTTTAAAAACACMAAGTTTTCTTTTTTCCTAATACATGGGGCCTAGAGCAATATGTGTGGGTTTGTCTTTTTGGCACTAGCGGGGGTGGCAGAGAAGCCTTTTTGAAATAATTCCAGCACATGAGCTGCTGTTTAACAYGTCCAATACTTGATGCTTATTGAATTTGTTAAATGTAATTAAATATGTATCATATATGTAATCAAATGTTGAGACACTAAAGACTACTGAATAAAAGCCTATTTTTTAATTCTGACTAAAAGAAATGTGGAAGTTGTTTCTCTCCTGTGTGATTTCCTGCTGCATAGTGAAAATTGACTATGAGAAATAATTGTTTTTATTTTCTTGCAAGAAGTGATTATAAACATTTCTTTTAGATGCTAGTTAATACTGAACAGTACCACAAATGCCATGTTTTGATAGTTGGTGGTAAAAACAGACTGTAAAAGCAAGTGCTACAGCTTATAAAAATTACTTTGGACATTACAAATCTGAACTCGTGAAAATTACTGCTTTTTCACTGTGCATTATGGGCTCCAATCATGAAAAAAATGTGAGAGATTTTAGTCTTGTTTTTCTGGTTAGCTGTAATTGCTGGTTAGCTGTTATAATGCTGTAATTGCACTTAGTCTTACTGTTTATGCAAAGTTGTYGAGGGATTATGTAGATGGTTTTGCCCTTCTGCACTGTGATAGAGACCTCTGGAGCGTGGCTTTCACTTATTTGTAAGGCTTGAGGTTGCAGGTAAGAAATTTGATTGTATTATGCCTCACATAAAGGTAAGTGTTGCAAGGAGGAGGGTTTTTTTTAAGCGTAGAGTATTTACATTTGCCATGTCAAAAACTGACTACTTCACACAAAGGCAAATGTAAACTACATTGAAGGTTAGGGGGATGTGCATGTATGTACATATATGTGTACACTTATGTAAGTCTTGAAAAACCCTCAAAGGGGAGGTTGSCTGCTTGGTTTAATCCAAGACCTGTAAGAGCATCATAAAATGAGTTAACTATAAGCAATCAGCATCTGTTGCAGTTAAGTTGAATATTAACTCTCAATTGAAAGATAAAGAAGAAAGATTTTAAAGTAGTTCGAGTTCTCTATATTATCAGTGATTCTGTGAGATGAAGAATCTGTAAATTCAGCTTCTGATGAAGAGCTGTATTTACCTGAAAATTAGTTAATCACATACTTGATCTGTTGTGACATGCAAGGGCCAGAGCTATGTTACATATATGTTATAAAACTACTTGTTAACTGCTCCTGCCCTTATCTCCTCTTTCTGCAGTTTAAAAATTCGGATTTGCCCTGTTGTGAAAGTGATGATCAAATCTATCACTTACAGTCCTTTTTATTCACATACTCTAATTGAATTTATAATGTATAGATTAAGTTGCTAAAACTGCTGATTATTTCTGCAAGAAGGGGTGTAGACAGTTTTCTCATCAACTCATCCAACTTTAATGAGCTCTCMCCTAGAATATTATAAATATTGCTTTATGTATTAAGTTTTTCAATTCGGCTTTTTGTTTTTCTTTTGGCAAGATTATGCAACACATTTGTTCTTATCCCCAAACTTTAYCCATCCTTAGAATCCCATGAGAAGATGCTCAGTGAGAACAGATCAGCTCTGTGACAGGTAAACATTTATACTTAAAGGAAGAGGCTCTCAAACCATCATTTGATTATGAAATGAACCAATAGATCTGAACAATTACCACTGCATTTATTTTTTTTATATATAAATGCCTGTGCAGGGAAGTTAAAAGCTGCTGCTACAAAAATAAACATAAAAACAGCTATAAAACATATACATATTTACATATATTACTTGTAAGACGTAAAAATACAAGTTATTTACAAGTACAAACACTTCAAGGGCACAGATGCATTCTCTCTTTGATTGTTGGCACTAAGTGAGCAGTGGGGGAAGAAGAAAAAAATGCATTTAGATAAATTCCAAAAAGTCAGGGTTACATAAAAGTTGCTCTAAGTTTCACTTCAGCAAGTTTTTCCATTATTAAGGGAAAAGATACAGAGCAACCCGCCTTTTTTCCCAGCAATTTGCAATACATAAAGCAACCCTCCCCTKCCTAAGCTTTACCAACTTGGAGAAGAATTTCTTGATAGTTGAGTAAAATCAGTCACTTCACTTGAATGCTAGTGAGTGATTTTATTGAGCTGTCACATCCAAAGACCTGCTTTGCTTTTAATTAGTTGGAACCAGCTGGATTGGTAAACATCACAAGAATAGAAGACAAACAGTGTAACTTCTCTTTTATATATTCTGGCAATTTATCATTTTCTCCATACCTAGAAAGACAAAAAATAACCCAGAAGTTAAGTGCTTTTAAAAGCTGATTTGACAAAATTAAAGTGGGATTTTTTTCCCAAAAAATAGCTGTAAATAGGGAAAAATCACTACATTATAAATTTAGTGGAGCTATAAAAAAGTAGAGCTTGATGGCCTAAGGCCAGCTCCCTCTTCCCAAGAGCTATTTAACTGAAACAGTACTTTAGAATGGATATATTAAAAAAAAAAAAAAAAACTAAATCGACTGTATATTACTACCTTGAACTTAGTACAGAGGGAGCATGTTACAAATCTAGCTAGAGAAGCATCCAGTGTCCAAAGSACTTTCAGAACCTGACCCAACACCACCACATCTGGGCATCAGTTACGCTATCTGCTAGCACATTCCACCTAAACTCTCAATAACCTAAAGAATGTTAAAATATTCTTTTGAGTATGAAGGCTTTAACTTACAGCCTCTAATTTCTTTTAAATACTGTACATAAACATTAGCTATATTGTAGACATCAAGTAGCAGATCCATTCATTTTTTTTATTCATTAGCCAAAGTTCAATAAAACATTAAGCAGTTCTCTTTTTATTCATTAAGTTTACACAACTTTTCTGTAACTTATTAGCTGATTAGTTTAAGTTTTAATAGTTCAAAGAAAGATGAAAATTTTGATGATCTCTAGAGGTCCCTTCCAACCTTGAATATTCTGTGATTCTGTGAACTTTATAATGGTTTTTCATCTACAATGGCATAGGCTTAAGAATCTTATCAGTTATTTTTATAGCAGTAATATGCTCACCTGCTTGTCTGGCCATCTGGAGATGTGTATGTGATGGAAGAAACACCTGCTTGTGCTACCAGTTGGGATCCATCATTAAACTGAACCCATACCGCTCCACTGGTCAGCTAGGAAGAGAAGTCTCGTTACAGTTTGAGGGCTTAGACTACAAGGTAACACCTCTGGAATTGTTCTAAAGAACTGAAGCTTAGCTTTTTTAGAATGAAGTGACTTTGCTGTCTAGGTCAGTCCTTAAGTGATTAAGATTGTACATGTACAACTTTCAAGTAAGCTGTAGTCTCCAGAATTGAGCTGCACTTTCCATAGTCCTTTTAATCATTTTTTTTCAAGAAAGTTAAATACAGAAGGACTTTTAACAGCTCCTAGACAAGTTTTAAGTAGTTGAAAATGAATGGAATAATTACTTTGTGGCAGTTCACAGCTACRTACATTTTCAAGTTTTATATAGTTTCATAAACTGTCGTTTGTTCTTCTGCTGGGACAAAAAGCTTATTTTAACTAGATTACAGAGAATTTATAAAGTGAAACCTGTACTGAAAGGAAGTAGGAAAGTGATTTTTTTTTTTTTAAATAGATAAACAGGGTTTCCTGTCAGGTAAGCAGATATCATCTTGCACATGTCTGGCGTGGTTAAAAACATCTTGCCCCAGCACTTTTGCTTTTAGAGACTTCTGTCCACTAATCTAGCCATTCTAGTTTTTACTAGATTCAAGTTTAAATGAAGGAATTGAATAGAAAGTAGTAATTTGGGATAAAGAGCATTCAATAACCAAATGGTTATTTTGGTTCCTTTTACTCATGTACTCATATTACATCATGATATTATCTTACTCCCTTATTTGGAAGGATCTYTGCACCTATCAACTTTCAGATTAAATTGGCTTTAAACATCATGTGTAAGCAATGCATTAAGTTAGCAATTTACAAGTTATGTATCTCAAGTTTAATTGGAAAATGATGATGTAAGAAAGTCCCTTCATTTATTTGTTACTCACCTGAGAAGCCCAACCGACATTTTTCACAAAGACAGATTTTAAAAGCTGAGCTGAATTAGGACTGCATTCCTTTTGATGAACAGAAGAGCATGTAGTTTCAGTAACATTGGTCATAAAGGTTGACTTTTCATATGATACCACCTAAAACCAGGAAGACAAGATATTAACATCTACAATAGAAGCCCTGTATACTAACTTAAGTTTTGCTTTTTATTTATTTTAGATCTTCTCATATGTACCATGAGACAGTCTGTATGCTTTTCCTACTCTAAGCCTAAGAATTACAGAGAATGAAACAATGAAGGCCTTTAGGAAAACCAGGTATGCAACAAAAACATCAAAAATCCACAGCTCACATAACTCTTCCAATGGTTAAAGCAGATGAGATGATGTGCTTAGTGATGGTTAAGATTCACAGTTCAGTGAGAAATGCAAGTCAGAGGAGATGTCTGAAATAGCTTGGTCAGGAGCGAAAGGTAAATCTGAGCGACTACAGGAACCTTGAAGAACAAAGCAGCTGTATTTCAATACCTAGCTCACGTATAAACAAACTGACAAATGTGATCAAGAGATCAACAGAAACGTACCTCAGGAGGGAGCACACAGTGGTTTCTGAAAAGCTTAGGAAAACAATATTGTTTGCTGTGTGAAGAAGAATGAGTCTGAACACTAAATACTCATATTTGACCTCTGGTAAAATTCTGGACAAAATCTAACTTGACATTGCTGGCCACTATGCTCAAAAAAGGCTAATAAGCTTAAGTCTGTAGAAAATGATTTATTTAAATTAAACAGTATCATTTAAATTCCTATTGATCATTAAAGCCACAATGTGTCCCTGTGAACTTACAGGAGTAATGTTAGGAGTTTGAACTGGATTAGAACTGGCAGCTATATTTCCATCCAGTGCCATAACTTCTTTTGGACAGTTTGTAGCATCTAATGATGGTGGTGCTAGAGCTTGTGGTGATTCGGTGTTGCCAGGTTTTCTGGGAAGGAGGATGAAAAGGAAAAGAAATATAAAACTTTATAAAAGGCAGTTAAGARAAG